TTGGGGACACTAACCATGTCAGCTAAGAAGAGACAGTATTAGAAATGAGGATGAGGGACAGTAGCATCTCAAATGGGACAGGTACGTCCATGTGATTTTTACTTTGTTATTCACTGCAAACGTGCTCTCTAGGGGAGCTGGGGAAGCACCCTTCTTCTGTCCTTCTGACTTGCTTCCCGTCTTTCTCCCCTTTTCTCTTTTTCTTTCTTACTTGGTGCCCAGTAGGTTGTTTATCCTGCCTCAGGTCAAGAGTGCTGATCAGGAAGAGGCCTGGGCTTGCAGCACTACCCTGGGGGAGAATGGTCCTTTCTAGAATGCTGCTGACTTTTCCCTTCCCTTTGCCCGTTAAGCTGAGTTCTCTAAACTGTTGAGAAAGCTCTGAACTGGGGATCCCGAAGTCCCTCCCCTAATCCTGAAAGGACAGTGGATAAGTCCCCTTCACCTCTCTAGTCATCATTGCCTGCATCTGAAAATGAGGGTGCCAGGCTGGCTGGGTTAGTAATGCTCAAACCTTTGGCTCTTACACACCAGTAAAGGCTAAAGAGACGGGGCTCCAGGGGACATGGAACAGAAATGTACATAGGGTAGAAAACATTTTATTTTGCTGTGTTAGGGTATTAAAAACAAAATCCTGCTACTGTCTGCAATTTTATAACAGAAAAACGTTTCAACACCGTACAGACCACGAAGGATCTTATCTTTAAATTAAGGATAGTTCTCTAAATGGAATACATTTAATGTTAAGGAAAATCTCACTGTATTATTCTAATTTTTCTCATTTTACTTCACCACATTACTTTTCTATTGATGCTGTAACAAATGACCACAAATTTAGTGGCTTAAACCACAACCGTGCATTGTCTCACCATTCGTGGGCCAGAAGTCCAGACCTGCATGACTGTGCCGAGCCCTCTGCTCGGGGCTTTCGAAGGCCAACATCAAGGAGTCAGCTGGGCTGGTTCTTATCTGGAGGCCCGACTATTCAGGTTGTTGGCAGAATTCAGTTTTTTGCAATTGTAGGACTGAGGTTCCCCCTTCAACTTCAAACCAACAATGGCACATCAAATACATCTCATGCTTTGAATCTCTGATTTCCCCGCTGCTGTCAGCCACAAAAACTTCCCTGCTTTTCAGGGCTTGTGTGAATACATTGGGCCACCTGGATAACACTTTAAGGTCAGCTGATCATTAACCTTAACTACATCTGCAAAGTCCCATTTGCCGTGTAACATAACATACACATGAGAGTAAGACCAAGGGGGTCATGGGAGCCAGAATTCTGCCTTCCACACGGTTTGGTGAAAACTGAGTCAGATAAACTTTTGCAGCTCAAATACCAGTGGTCAAATATGCTCAGATTTTTAAGTTGACTTATTCAGAAAGTATATATTTGTGAGAAGCCAGGGCATCATTATTAATGAAGAGTCTTACAGGGACTAGGTACTGGAGAAATGTTCACTGAGCAAACAGGTATTAATAAGTTCATTGTTGCTAATATTATTTTAATGCAGCTTTGATTATAAATCTTGTGGTACTGTATCATCATTGTCATTAGTACAGATTACAAAGCAAGCTAAAATCATTACAGGAATATATTAAAATGGAAAATGATTCAGTAAATCATGTTAGAAACAATTAAAGCATGAACTACTGTGTTATATCCACTTGTGCTCCACCGAGGGTGGGAAGTGTTGCTTTCAATCAAGAAACAGGAACGGGCTTCCCTGGTGGCGCAGTGGTTGAGAGTCCGCCTGCCGATGCAGGGGACACGGGTTCGTGCCCTGGTCTGGGAAGATCCCACATGCCGCGGAGCGGCTGGGCCCGTGAGCCATGGCCGCTGAGCCTGCGCATCCGGAACCTGTGCTCCGCGACGTGAGAGGCCCGCGTGCCACAAAAAAAAAAAAATAAAATAAAAGAAACAGGAACAATTAATAGAGGGCCCCAAGAAGCAATAAGAATTTCATCTTTCTTCCCCCCCGACCTCCCTCCTTCCTTCTTTCTTCCTTCCTTTCCATCTTTCTCTCCTTCTGTCTTTCTTGGCAAGAAAATTAACTCGGCCAATTTTAAAATTAAATTAAAATTTTAAAATTGAATCATTTCCTGAATCTCTCCAGGGTACTATCCAAACTCTCTAGGCTGGCGTTCAGAGCGCTCCTTAGCCTTAGCCCAGGCCACTTTGCCCTCATCCTCAGTCTTACGCACCCCTGCCCCCAGAGCCCTCCCTGGTGCTTCCCCATGGTGCCTCTGCCCCAGCACTGAGCCCTGTCCATCACATGCTGGGGCCACCCGTGCCCCTATCTCACTGGGCAGTGAGCTCTCTGAGGCCAGGAACTGAATCAGACTCATGTTTCTATCCCTCTTGACGCCCACCGTGGATCTCAGTCCAGAGTCTCTCAAATAGACAAGGAGAGAGCAACAAATGTTAACCCACTCTGGTCCCACATTATGGTCACTTGAGGGGAAGGGGCGGGGAGACAAAGTAAGACAAAAATAAGGAGAGACACATGGAAGTAGAAAGAGAGGGGAGAAACAGATGCAGGGAGGTCAGAGGGCCCCCTCAGGCATCCAGCAGATCCTTACTAAGGCGCCTGTATAAGCTCTGGGGAAACAGCAGTAGAAACAATGACCAAAAAGCCTTGTCCTCAGAGGGCTTACATTTTAATTAAAGGACAGTCAATATGCAGACAAACAAAAATAGACAAGATGATTTCAGATAATTTTAGGAGCTATATTAGGGCATAAACTAGGGTGGCATCTTAGAGAGTGACGGGGGGTGAGGACCATTTTGGGTAGGGCAGCAGTGATGAATTCCCCAAGGAGGTAACGGCTAAGCTGAGACTTGAATGATGAGGAGTGAGCCATGCTGAGAACCGGGTGAATATTATTCCCAGCAAAGAAAACAGCAAGTGCAAAGGCCCAAAGGCAGGAAGGAAATTGCTTTTCCTTTCAGGGATCAAAAAGGAGGCTGGGAAGGCTGTACTTGGTGAGCAAGGAAGAGAGTGGAGGGAAATCAGGTCAGAGTGGGAGGCAGGGCTGGATCTTGTGGCTTCCTGCATCCATTTTGATAAGGATGGTGAAGAATATCATACCAAACTTGTAAATAATATAAAATCGTTATTATATAACCAGTTAGCCTAACACTTAGAGCGTTTTCTAACAGCCCTTCCTTAGGGTCATCTGACTAGGGGAATTTAAGGCATCTTACAATTCTCTAAAATTGATAAGATGTGCTGGTTTTCAGTGATTTCTTTTTCTGTCCCCAAAGGTGATAGTTTTATTGCCGTATAGGACACTAACCAGTTTTGTATCTAACTTAGCAATCTTATTTTTTATTTTGCATTCACTATAAAAATCCCTGTTTCCCAAATTTTCTTTTGAATCGACTTTGTCATCCTGCAGATGCCCTTTATTAGTTAAATAAAAGATTGACATGTACCCACTATTGATTTTCATGAGAATTATGTTTTTAACCTTTTGAGAATTATATTCTGATAGGAGTTTGGGTTTTAAGTGCACAGAAAGCAGCAGAGTAAAAAGGGGACTAATTTATGTTTTACAAAGGGGCCTCGGACTGCTAGGTGATGAATGGGCTTGACTGGGTCTCAGGAGGAGCAAGACGCCCAGTTCGCAGCCCATGGCTCTGTCCAGGGGAGAGCCGGCCACACGGCTTGATGAGAGTGATGGAAGTGGAGAAGAGGGAGGTGAGCCATAACTGACTCCCGATATCTGCAGACATTTGTCCTTGTTCATTTCCATAGCGGGTCACCAAGATCTGTTTTTCTTCCTCATATGCGAGCTCCTTGGCAGGGCTGTGTCCAATTTCTCTGTTTCCTCAACATCCAGCCCTGGGCTGAACACAGAGTGGTGCTTGGCAAGTGTCTGCTGAACAGATTCTTCCCTTTAGATTCACCTCCTTCTCCTTCTCCTCCTCCTGCTTTTTTATTGTGATAAAATGTATATAACATAAAATGTGCCGCTTTATTTTTAGGTGTACAGTTCAGTGACATTAAGTACATTCTCGCTGTTGTGCAGCCATCACCTCCATCCATTTCCGGAATGTTACCATCACTGAGAGTGTACCCATTGAACACTAACTCCCCATTTCCCCCTCCTCCAGCCCCTGGTAACCACTATCCTACTTTCTGTCTTTATGAATTTGACTATTCTAGGTACCTCACCTAAGTGGAATCATACATTTGTCCTTTTGTGTCTGGCTTATTTCACTTAGCATAATGTCTTCAGGTTTCATCCGTGTTATAGCATGTGTCAGAATTCCCTTCCTTTTTAAGGCAGAAAAATACTCCATTGTATGTATAAACCACAGTTTGTTCAACCATTCATCTCTTGATGGATATTTGGGTTGTTTACACTTTTTGGCTACTGTGAATAATGCTGCTAATGAACACGGGTGTACAGATATCTCTTTGAGTCCCTGCTTTCAGTTCTTGGGGGTATATACCCAGAAGCAGAATTCTGGATCATATAATAATTCTGTTTAATTCTGTTTTGAGGAACTGTAGTACTGTTTTCTATTGCAGCTGCACCACTTTATATCCCTAGCAGCAATGCACAAAGATTCCACTTTCTCCACACCCTTGCCAATACTTGTTGTTTTCTGCTTTTTTGATAATAGCCATCCTAATGGGTGTGGATTTATCTTCTTTTAAAATATAGATGACCATGATGGGAGAGGCCCAGGGTGAGGAATTTGGGGGCCCGTTCCCTAGTGTGCTCTGAAGGGAGATGGCTGGGGAGCCTAAAGTCCTAGATTTGGAGGACACTCAGAGGGAGGAGAGCTGGGAAGAGGGGTACCAAGATCACACCTCACTGAGCTCACAGCATGGGCTCAGGACTGGTTTAAAGAGAGGCCTCACGATGAGAGAACTGAAACCCAGGTTTCCCATGAGGAAGTTTTGTTTGTGTGAATCCACTGTCGGGCTCTTGTCGCTGGGGAAAGCTGTTTCTAATTTGGGCTTCTCTTTCTTTGTGTTGCTCCCCAGTGTGATAATGCAAAAGGGTTGAAAGCCTTCTACGATGCAATAAAATATGGGCCGAACCACTTGATGGTGTTTGGAGGAGTCTGTCCATCTGTTACGTCCATCATCGCAGAGTCCCTCCAAGGCTGGAATCTGGTACAGGTAAGGTCCGGGCCACCTTTGGTTGGGGAACTGTCTTTGGCCACCAGTCTTTCTCAGAAATGGTTCCTCGCCCAACATGGATCCTAAGTTGCTCAGTTCAGACCTCCCATACTCTTTCCTGAATGATTACACAGCCTCCCACTGCCTCTACCTCCTGGCTTGATCCTCTGGCCTGTCCTGGCTGACACAGTGGGGCTCTAAAGGGTAGCCCTGACACCATCACTGTGTGTTTGAAATATTTCAGTGACTCCCTAGCCCGACTTTCAGGGCTGTCAACATCCAGCCAGTCTTCCTGTCCAGTCTCATTTCCTATCCCTGCCACTCACTCCATGCCTCCGCCCCCCTAAACAACGCACCTTTCCCCAAGTACACCCTAGACCTTCAGGCCTCAGAGACCTGCTCTCACTGTTTCTTTAACTAGATGATCCAAACCTCCCGCCCTCACTGAAATTATTTTGTCCACTAAGGCTGCCTTTCTCCTCGGTTAAGCCTTTCCTGGGGCTCTCGGCTCTTTACACTGGCAAATGTTATACGCTGTTGAATGTTGCACCAGTGAATGTATGGTCTGATGTAGGTGAAACTCACCAGTGCTAGCTGTTATTTAGAATGTGAGAGAGACGTGTAGAAAGATGAGACCCCACGATGAGTTGTGGCCCAGGAACATGTTTTACTTCTTTGCTTCATCCATCCATCCCTCGTCCATTCATCCATCCGTCATCCATTCATCATCCATTCATCCATCCAATAAATATAATGCAACTTACTGTGTGCCTGGAATTTGGGTAGACACTGAGGATATAGTGCTGAACAGGACAGACCTGGTCCCTACCTGTTCAGAGCTTACATTCTAGGAGGGAGGCAGGCAATAAGCAAATAAACAATTAAGTAATCATACTAAGAGCAATACTTGTATAGTATGTATGTCGGGCTTACAACATACCAGACACTGTTCTGAGCACGTATTTTCATTAACTCATGTACTCCTTACAACTGTTGGTATTATGCTGTTGGTATTATCATCATCCCATTTTATAGATAAGGAGACCAAGGCACACAGAGGCTAAGTAACTTGCCCAAGGACCCTCAGCTCATAGGTAAGAGCCAGGATTTAAACTCAGGCAGTTTGGCCCTTGAGGTAAGATTGCGGTAAGGAAATGGCTAGGGTAGAGGTAAACAGGGTGATGTGATAAATAGTGGCCGCTTCGAGGCAGTCAGGAAAGGCCTCTTAGAGGAGGTGACAATTGAACTCAGACCTGAAGGGTGAGAAGGAGTTGGTTGGATGAAGAGTATTCCATGTCAGGATGGAATAGCAAATGCAGACAGCCTGTGATGGGAACAAACTTGGCTTGTTCAGGGAACGGAAAAGAGGGCAGTGGGGCTGGAGCATGGTGGGTGGGGAGTCAGGGTGGTGAGAATGAGAATGAAGGGGTGGGCAGGAGCCAGACCACAGGGGGATCTGGTTTCATTCTGCTCACATTGACTGACGTACTTTCTGAGTCCAGCCCTGCGTATATGGGGCGCTGGGGGTAGAGCCCCAAGCTCGTGCCCCAGAGGGGAGGTGGGAGGCAGCCATAGCAGAGCTGTGATAAGGGAAGAGTGGGGTCCCAGGGGAGAGCCGCCCACCCACTCAGCCCTGGGTTCAGGAAGGCTTCTCAGGGGAGGTGATGGGGAGCTGGCTGCAAAGGAGGAGAGGGCGTTGGACAGCTGGAGACGTGGAGGAGAGCGCTGCTGGCAGAGGAAACTGGGCATGCAAAAGCAGGAGGTGGGAAGGAGTGTGGGCTTGGAGAGCAGTGAGTCATTCTCCGTGGCCGGAGCAGGCCATGCTGAGGGTGGGCGGATGCAACAGTGGATGAGGCCAGAAAAGCAGCTCAGCGTGTTTTGGTGCAAACCTAACCACGTAGCTGGAAACCAGCACGGTTCAATGTGCCGGGGGAGCCTGGCTTCCAACCCTGCGGTGCCCACAAACAGCCGTGAGACCTTGGTGGAGTCATGCACCTTCTCTGCCCTTGAGCTTTCTCTCCTGAGTACTGAGGAGCACGCCAGACTCCTGCTGGTCAGGGCCAGGCACTGCCTCTCTGAGCCTCAGCCTCCCATCTGTAAAAGCAAGGTAATAAGAGGACTGACCTCATAGGGCTGCTGTGTGGGCTACATTATTAAACAGGGATTAGAACTGTGCCCTGGCATGTCCTAAGCACTAAGTGTTTCTTGTTTTATTGTTGTTGACACCCCTGCCCCGTCTCCTGCTATTCCCTGAGTTGAATGACCCAACTACTTAGCATTCCTTGTCTTTCCTGAAACACTGTTCCCACCACTTGAAACATCCCCTTCTCCCCATGACCTGTATGTCAAGTCCTACCCGTTCTCAGAGACCCAGCTTAAATGCTGCCTCTTCCAGGAAGCCTTTCTTATTGCACTATCTAAAGTAGCCCTCTAGAAATTCTTTCTCTCACTTCCCCCTGTTTACTTCTAGCAGAGCATGTACACAGCCCACCCCCGCAACCCGCAAGCCTGTCTGCCTTTCCCCCTCTTATGGCTTTGCCGATGTGGGGATGTATTTAGTTGAGCTATGGATTCCTTGAGAACAGAAACAAGGCCTGAGTTACTCCTGTTTTTCCTGGTGCCTAACACTTCACAGACCTTATTAGATATTGAATGGTCAGAGGGAGGGAGGGAGGGAGGGAAGGGTCTGCAGATGGATATTTTGCCCAGATGTGAGAGAGCAAGCTCCCTGTAAAATCCCCACCCAGAGGAATCCAGGGAGCTTCCTGACCTTCTCTGAGCCTCACTTAGAACTGTCTGCCCCTCAGAATTCTCTAGGAGCTGTAGGAGCAAGCACAGTGTTGCAAACTCCTGGCTTGGCAGCTAAAGCTCCCCAGCCTCAGCATGCAAAAGAGGGCCTCCAGCCTAGAGGAGCTGACAAGACAGAAACTTGGGTTATGAGAGGTGGGGTGTATTATTTATTGCTGTGTAACAAATCACCTTAAAATCAACAATAATCATTTATTATTATCATATTATCATATTATTATCATATATTTATTATCAAATATCATTTATTATTCCATTACTTCTGTGGGTCAGGAATTCAGACCCACAGAATGGCTTGCAACTGCTCCAAGATGTTTGAGGTCAAGCTGGCAGATTTGGAGGCTGGGGGCCGGCATCATCTGAAGGCTTGCTTGGGGCTGGAGGGTCTGCTCCCAGCATGGTCCCCTCACATGGCTGGCAAATTGGGGCTTCCCCGTGGGGGCCTCTCCATAATGCTGCTAGAGGGTCCTTCTGGCATGGCAGCTGGCTTCCCCCAAAACGAGTCATCTAGGAGACCAAAGTAGAGACTGCAGAAGTTTTTAGGATCTAGCTTCAGAGTTTGCATATCATTATTTCTGCCATATTCTATTGATCACAAATTTAGCTCTTATTTATGAGGGAGAGGACTATACAAGCTATAGCAGGAGGTGAAGATCACTAGGGACCATCTTGGAGGCTGGCTTCCACAGGAAGGAGGAATTCTGGGAGGAAAGCAAGGGTCAGGTTGCCCAGCAAGGGAGGCTAGATGCTGAGTCCCTTCTCTGTTTTGCTGAACTCCTGCTCATCCTTCAAAACCCTGGATAGGTACTGCTTCCTCTGTGATGCCTTTCCTGACCTCTTTCCTTCTGTGCCTCCCATCCCTAAGTGAATTAATTGTTCCCTCCTCAACAATGCCTTCTCAGTGGGGGGTCATCTCCCTCAAGGGGGTGAAAATTCATTATTGTGGGAAGAGGGCAAAAAGTCTCACTCTTTTTATGTATAATGCACAGGTACACATACGGTGCATAAACGGATATATAGTATATCTGTGGTATTACAATTTCATGAGTGGGGTGGGATTAGGAAAAAATGCGTAAAGGTTTCTTAGGAGAGTGATAGTGAAAAGAAGATTGAGGAACGTGCGTGGTTCTACATCACTTCTATATTGCATGTGGTGTTCCGTTATTAAATGAATTACATTCTGTGGAGAATAGTTTATTCTATATCTGGGTGTTCCCTACTAGACTGTAAGCTTCTTGGGGGCAGGGACTCTTGTTTCCTTCGCCCCTTAGTTGCCAGCGCCTCGCACAGGGCCTAGTACCCCAGTAGGTCCTCACTGAGTGCTAAACTGAACTAAGTGCAGGGGGTAGACTGGGAGCCTGAAACCCCCCATGGCAGAGTTTCTCACAATGTGGACTTGACCATGGGGAGGCCGAGGACTTGGGAGAAAAATGCAGATCCTCAGCCTCCACCTCAGCAGAATCCCTATGTGTTGCTGACGGGCTCTTGTGGGTGATTCTCGTGCCTAGTCCACCACTGCCCTAGGCATCTGCTACCAGACACCTGGGCAGATCCAGGGCTCCCGCTGTGCACAGATGAGGGACACTGAGGGGCTAAGAACTGGACGGTGCCCAGCAGTTTGGAGAGTTCTGGGGACCTGCATCACAGGGTGAGCCAAGGAGAACAGACTTCTCCCAGCCTGAGAAGTCAAGCAGGGGGATGTAGGAACAAAGATGTGGGTCCTGATGGAGAGTGGCCCTGGAAGATTTCTCCCTCCCCCCACTCTCGGGGAACACAGCCCCATTTGCTAACACAGGACCAGATTCCGGGGACCTCCCGCCCGTTCCCCACCTCCTGGAGGCTGAGCTTGTTTGAAGAGATGGTAGAGGACTGGGGTGAGTGGGTCTGCTGTCGCCCAAGGGATTTGATCAATCCCTTAACTTATTCAAAACTGGGCTCCGAAACAGAGTTTCACAAATGGGAAAATGCATGTAATTTGTGTAATTGAAAAGGAGCACCGACTGCCTTTTGGGGGAACAATGCTCTCTGGACAGAGACAGCCTGGGATGTATAATCAGTTGTTTCTGTTTCCTGGTACTACGAAAATAGGGATTTGCGCCACAAAGGGGTGAAAATTTACCCTGGTGCTAAAATCAGTTAAATTTAACTTTTGCTTTTTGCTGGGCTTCTTGATTCATGGTTGCTGTGTTGAG